ATCAAAAAAAAAAAAAAAAAAAAAAAAAAAAAAAAAAAAAAAAAAAAAAAATAAAGGTTGAGAAGCACTGGTTCAAGACATGGACCCTGCCAGTCAGAGGCTTACAAACTAGTTAATCATTCAGAGGTACAAACGCCCGAGGGATGCAGAGGTCTCTGCACTCGTGTGTCCACGCTCCATGGAGTCATGTCCTACTTATTTAAATAAGAAGGGGGAAGGGCCCAGCCTTAGAACCATTCACTGCGCTGAGACAGGCACTAGGAGAGCGAGCGTGTGTCAATCCAAACACACCGCCTACGGTTGGACAAAAGAAGGGGAGATGGGGACCCCAGGAGGAGTCATGGCTTAGCCAAGCCTTGGGGACTGTGGGGGACCACATCCAGGCATTTGGACCAGGTGAACTGAGAGCAGGAAGTAGACCAGAGTGTGGCTGGAAGCCCCAAGCAAGGCTCCCGAGAAAGGCAGGCAGGAGAGAAGGCAGCAATGGCTCGTGGCTGTTGAATCACCAGATCTGGGTTTGATTTCTGTCTCTGTGAACACAGTAAGTTTTTTAACCTCTCTGAGATTCATTTACTCACCTGTAAAATCTGGCTAACAAAAGGCCTCCAGTGAGGTGGCTGAAAGATTCCATAATGGGTGTGAAAGCACTTGGCTTATGGGGCTGCTTAACAACATAAGCTAACAATTGTCAAGTGATCAGTATGTGCCAATAACTGTTTGAAGGACTTTATAGATTTCAACTCTCAACAACAACCCTATAAGGCCGTTGGTATTATTTTCCCCATTTCACAGCTGAGGAGACTGAGTCACAGAGATTAAGTAACTTTTCTAAGTCACTCAGCTACCAAGCAGCAGAACCAGGATTCAAACCAAGGCAGCCCCAGCCTGGCCCCCACACTCGTCCACGCTTAGTCTACACGGAATCTCATCAGAGTCATAGCGCAACACACGAATGATTATGACTTCATCATTATCGTTGTGTGTCCTGTTAAGGGGATGCTGTCCTGGGCAGGTCACCAGATCCAAGACTCAGACAGGAGGACCAAGGCAAAAGAGCAGTCACAAGGACAGGACAGAGCTCGCTGAGTGCAGCAGCAGCAAGGGTGACAACGCCACGTGCTACCTATGGAACCGCGGCCGCTTCCCCAGCTTCCAGCCTATAGTCAGGGTCACTTTGGGCCTGGCCCGGGACTGGGCAGGCAGACAGAGTCCAGGCACTTCCCACCACGGGTGGAGGCGAGACATCGCCCAGCGAAGATCAAAGCATGTTCCAGCCCTTCCTCGGAGGCCTCACTCTACCCCCGTCAGCATCCTACCCTTCCCCCTGCACTCTGCCCCAGGGGCTGACTTCAAAGTGAGTGTGATTGTCCCTAACACTGGTGGGACATGGGCAGGAGCAGGTCACGTCTCTGGTTTTAGCGGTTTCCTTAAAACCACTGGATTTACTTCCTCTTTTAGGCTGATTATATAAGATGCGCACTGGCTAATGCAATTCCAGTTATTTATCTGTAGACCCCGGAAATTTACGAGGAAGCTGCTGCTGTCCATAGTGAGCTAGGATTATTTCAGGTCCGCGGCAGTCTGCTGAAAGCACGGGCTTTGTAGTCAGACAGAGCAACGGACAAGCCTGGCTCTCCCGCTCGGCAGCCTCTTACTCAGGTCAATTACTTCATCTCTCTGCGTCCTAATTTCCTCGTCTGTAAAAAGGGGAAACAAGCAAAGTGCCGACTTCTAAGCCTCCATGAGATAATAGCTGTGAAATACTTCACACCATTCCTGGGACTCAAGTCAACATCAGCAGCCACCATTATGATTGCCGTGATTATTTTTATTACCCAAGCAGCCTCTTGCAAGCGAGGGGACCACTGAAAAGAAGGAATTCGACCTCCTCCTTGCCAAAGGTTTGCCATTACACCTCCACAAGAGGCTGCATTATAGGAAAAAAGGTAGGGGTGTGTGTGTGTGTGTGTTATCCTGAGCAGGCTGTGTTTGTTACACGGATGGATATCCTGAGCTTGAAAGAAAAGAAAAACAATAAAGATATTGCCATAAATCCCCCAAAATAGGACAAACATTTTTAAAGCAGGGTCTCAGGAGCTTTAAAGCTCTTAGTGGCCATCACTAAACCTTCCCACAACCCCAGGTTTCCCTAGGGTTATTCAGGTATGTATCTAGAAAAATGTTCTGGTATCAGAAGAAAAGCTGGAGTAAGCGGAACCACCGAATCATCCTCTTGCTGTCTGAGAGAGTGAATCATATAAATGTCAGGGTGAGTAGCTCTCAGTCCCTTGGGGTTCCTTGGGAAAGGACCTCATCAAAGCCACAGCACACACTTCTGACGCCAAGAAAAGAAATCCTGCTTACACTGTGGGCTTATCCCACACCAAAAATGTTTGTTGAATGAAAAAAAAAAATAGAGAAGGATTCTTACCCTCAATCCAAGCACCTCATAAACTACTTGAACAGCCAGCGACACTGGGTGCATATCTACATTTCTGGGGGCAAGGTCTAACATGACTCTCAAAAGCTCAATGGTCCCAAGTGATTACGAATCATCACTTTGTCTTCCTTGCTCCCCAGCCATCTCGGCGGCTGCTCTTGGATGGGGGCTGTCCCACACCTAAGGCAGGAATATAGTGGCCAAAAAGAAGAGGCAAAAGTTGCTAGAGTCCATCAACTCTAGGCCCCAACTGATTATGAACAGCGGAAAGTCGATGCTTGGTACAAGCCACCTCTGAAGATGATACTCAAAGCAAAGCAAAACTGGTCATCCTTGCCAAAACCGCCCGACGGCGAGGAAATCTGAAATAGAGTCCTATGCCACGTCGGCCCAAACCGGTGTCCAGCACTACAGGGCAATAACATTGAACCGGGCACAGCACGCAGGAAAGACGACAGAGTATGCACACTGGCTGTCATTGGTCCAGGTGGTTCTGTGACCTTTAGAAGTGTGCCAGAATAGACTGGTAAAAAGTACATCAGGCCAATTATTCTCTAGTAAAACTGGCCAGAGCCTATGCAGGGAAGGAAGGAAGCGGGGAAGGGAAGGAAGGAATTACTGAATTGCCGCTTTGGAGCACTATTTTAAGAGAGGAAGTTGTATGCTATCCCCAAAGACAGCTGGGTAAATTTGGAGATGTGAGGAGCAGCAACTGCAGACGTCTGAATTCCAACTATGGGCCCCTCCCTCCTGATCCATGAGGGCAAAACCTCTCACTGTTGTCCGCAATCATCTTCCCTCCTTCTAGAAGGCTCTCTCCATTCAGGCCAGGTGCCCCCCAAGTCATCCTTCAGGACTTCACACCCAGCTATAAAAGCCTACTTCCCCTGCCTTAACACGTCCCCTGAGAGGAAGACAGATTGTTCCTACCATCACCCAAATTATTCTCAGCTGCTCCTTGCTATTTTCACGAAATTGCTTAGACAACAAGAACCTTGTATTTGTGTATTCCCATTTGCATCCTGGTCTGCATCACCTGGTCATTGTCTATTCTGGACTCTGACCTGCCAGAGGACCACTGCTGTTTAACTTTCTTTTGTGTTGGAGGTGTTCAAAGCAAGAGTTTAACAACCAGACTTCAAAATCATTTAAATTTTGCAGCACTGTCTGCTAAGATTGGAGGAGGTGGCTCTCAAAAGCCTAACCTACAACTTCAATTAATTCTGGACATTTTTATTTTCATATTCTTTTCTCAAACACAATAGTCATCTTTTAAAATTTTTGCAAATCAGAATTCTAACTCAATTCCTCCCACAGTCCCCTGCCTATGGGTTGGAATTTTCAATTCACTAAGAAAGAGAGACATTCTTGCTGGGGAATGGTTTTTCAGACTCTCAAAGCCCTCACTATCTTGTGTGGAAAAGCAAGGTTTTTCCCAGCAGCTTTGAAGAAGGCATTTTAACCATCTCATTTTGTTTACTTGCCCTTCCTGGCTCCATCCCACCCACAGGGTGCCACGGCGCCACTGCCCTTCCAAGCAGCAAAGCTTTACATCTTAATAGCTGGCCGGCTTACTCATCTCTGAATCAAACTCCAGACTGTACTGTCTGCTTCCGGGCACTCAGTTCTGCAGCACGAATATAAGAGCCCCCGGCCCCCCGCCCCATGCACACGCTCACTCTCACGCACAGGGTGACCTCTGGAGGCAGGAGGCCATGTAGAATCAGGCGTGGAGCTCCCGCCTCCTTTACCCCGTGGCATCAAAGCCTGCTTCACGGATGGACTCCATCCCGTTGGCTCCAAGTCTGCTAAGAAGTGCTTCAGACACTTTGGCCACAGCAGTTAAACATCCTGGGCACCCTCCATCAAATTAAGCTTGGCCCAAGCTCTGCCCCAGGATCCTGGAAGCTACATTCATTGCACTTATTTTCCCAGAACTTATCTGCCCACACGACAGCCCACATGGCCCTGGATTGGACCTCACCAGACTTTGTTCCCTTCTCAGCCATGGATAATTAATTTATTTTTTGAAAACTAAGGGAGGCCAAACAGGGGAAACTTTGAATTTTTGCAGGCTTCTCCACTGGATCAGCTCACTGGATAAAGCTGGTAGTGCACAGAATTGAGCATCTTCGTCCTGCCCCTACCACAATCTAAAGCCGAAGTGTGTCTCTCCTCTGTAAACAAACCTGGAAGGGTGTGCCCCCAGTTTGAGTTCATCTGACTCAGTTAAGGAGCCAGAAAGGGAAAATCATCCGTCAGTTATGCGCTCCCCGCCCTGCCCTCCCCACGCGCCTGCCCTGATGCTCTCCTGGGCGGCTTCGAGCGGCGGCTGCAAAATGTCAGTGCAAAGGGCAGAAAAGCCAGGGAGGGGATAGCTAGGCACCTCTGGGTGACGTTAGCAATGAGAAAAATCTAGAAGTGGCACGTAAGGATGGGAGGGGATGTCCAGGTCGGGTCTCGGGAAGCGAGGCCAGCCAGGGCTCTCGGGGACGGCAGCGGGGCGGAGGCCTCTGCGGGGACCAGGCGGCGGGCCGGGGCGCGCGGCGAGGCCACCCACCTCTTGATGTAGCTGCTGAGGCGGTAGAGCTGCCCGTCGAGGCGCACGAGGCCGTCGCCGAAGACGTTGAAGCCCCCGCGCGCGGCCGCCGGCTCCCCCGGCCCGGGCACCACGAGCTGGTCGCCGCGCAGCTGGAAGGCGCCGGGCTGCAGGCGCAGCAGCTGCGCCAGCGGCAGCAGGGCCAGCTCGCAGTCGCACGTCCACAGGCTGCGCAGCTCCCCCGACGAGATGGAGGTCAGGCTCGGCCTGGCCGCCGGCGGGCACGAGGCTGCCTCCATGCCCCCACCCTCGGCGCGTTTGCCTCGGTGCGCCCCGCTCCGCCTCGGTGCGCCCGGCCGGTCCGGCCCTGGTGCGGTGGCCCCAGGTGCGCGCCGCCCGCCGGCAAGGAGCGCCGCAGGCCCCGCGCTCAGAAAACGGCTCCGGCCCCGCGCGGCCCTTTTATCCGCCCCGAGCGCGGTCGCCGCGCCCCTCCCGGCCCTCGGGCACGACCCCAGACGCTCGGGCCGAGTTATCGTCGGCTCAGAATTTGGCACGCTCTCGCCTGGCCGCGCCTGCCCGCAGCCAAGGGTTACTCATCCCCCTCGGGTCCGTTGCTCCACACCCGGGGCTGGGCCCGCCCCGGCCTGGCCCGCACTGCCGGGGGCGGGGTAGGGAGAGGCCGCCCTGGGGTGCCGAGTCTGGCCCGTGGTGGGAGGGGAGGGCGCATTGCTCCCACCCATGAGCGAGACACCACACCGATCACACGCGTACTGATTGGAGGGACGCAAACGTCCGTCGCCCCACTCTCTCCACTTGGGGCCCGGGGCCGTCGAAGTAGGGCTCAGATGCCCACCCCTATGCCCCGCCCCAAGCTGGAGCCAGTTGCCAACCCCTGCCTCCCAGCCTGTTTTCTACTTTTTTCCCCCCCTCCAGATCATACCCTGCATTTTCTCTCCTCTCAGTCTTTCCCCGCATGATTCCTTCCCCTGGATTCCCTTCCGTGTAGAAATTCCGCTCATCATCGTGTCACTTCCCGGAAAGCCTTCCTGAGTCCCCCGTGGCTCTCCTTGCTTCTCCCACACGGTGGGCCTCAGGCCATGCCATGCCGGGTAGCGCGGATAGAAGGGACCCCGCAGTCACCGTCTCCTCTCCTGCCTCCGCAGTAGGCTGAGCTCCTTGAGTCCCGGAATACGTTCATTTATTGTCAGTCATTGGAGAGCTCGCTAGGTGCTCCTTCTGTGGACATACTGAATGTGCTCGGTCTCCTGCGGTATTAAAGGAGGACTATTTTCCTTCCATTTAATTCACTATTTCTGAAACATCTACTAGGAGAAAGACAGCAAGCTAAATTCTGACAAGACTAGAATGAACAGATACAGCCCTGCCCTTGCCTGATTTGCGGTCTGATGGAGGGTAGACAAGTTTTCAGCAACTGCAGTGTGTGAATGAAAAGTTCCCGCAGGATAACCCTGGACTTCCGGGAGGAGAATCCAGCTGGGTTTTGAGGCCCTGGGGAGGCTTCCTGAAGTCCTGTAATTCAGAACTCTAAGCTAGGTCCTAAAAGTTGAGTAGAACTTAGAGAATACCTTTAATTTGTGTTTGTGTGTACCTAGCGTGAACCCTTGCATAGGTTTAATGGAAGAGTCCTTCTGTCATGTCTCATTTAAATCCCAGAATGTCAATGAGCTCCATTCACACATCCTTTCTCCAGACATGGGTCCCTTTGCCCCAGGATCAATCCCTGTCGCTGGGTTTCTCTGAACAAATCTACTTCTCCCGGAATGCATGGATCACCACTGCATCAATCTTTCGCAGAGAGGAAAGGGAATCTGTCTGTGAAACCAGCACCTAAGGGGATTCTTTCACAAAGTGAAGCCTGAGGATGATTGCCCAGAGGATGGGCATGGGGGGTGACGAGACTCCAGGCAGGACCCAGAGGCTGGAGCTCTGCTCACTGCAAGGGATGTGGTGCGAGGAGCTGGACCCATCACACTCTGGGTGTTCATTCTGGCCCCAAACATTGATGTGGTCACCACTATGCAACAGGCACCATCTTAAGCTCTGAAAGTACCAAAAAAAACTCCAATCAAGAAGAATGCTAGATTAGACGCATTGACTAAGTACCACAAGTGCAAGGTCAAGAGAGTGGTTGCTTCTACCTGGGAGGCCCCAGGAAGGGTTCTTGGAGGAGGTGACAAATGGACTAGACTCTGAATACAGGCTAGGAGCTCTCAGGTGAAGCAGTACCGTCAATAAGAAGTTGGGAGAGAAGATTCTGGACCAGTCTATGTAAAAAGAGAAAGTATGGTCTATTTGGGGAAGAGTGGGAAATTTTGTACGGCTAAAACAAACCATGTCTATTTGGGGTGAGAGAGGTGAGTTTTGTAAGAGATGAGACGAGAAAGCGAAGTTGGAGCCGGATTGCGACACGCCTTCTGAGTTGCCTAAGAATTTGGATTCTTAAGGCAATAGGGAGACTTTGAATGTTTTGAAGGAAGGAAGTGGTAGAATAATGCCTGAGTTTAGATGGACAACTTTGGTTATGGCCACATAGAACATGTTTTGAAACAGGAAGATTGGAGGCAGAGTGACTAGTTAGGAGATTGACGCAACAATCTGGGGAGGCTATAATGAAGGTCTGATCTGGTGCACACAGCAGCTGTGGGAGAGGAGCTGATGGGAAGAATTTGGGACATCTTTGAAATAAGGTGAGGAGGGTTTCATGAGCAAATAAAAGGAAGAGGGAAGAGTGAGCCAAAGGAAAACTATTCGGTCTCTCACTTAGGTCCCTAGACAGATGGTATAGATTTTGAGCTACTTACAGAACATCCAAGAGGAAAAGTCCAGGAGGCAGCTAGTTAGCTGGGTTTGAAGTTTGGGAGAGAAGATAGGGTTAAGGATTGAAATTTGAAAGTCATCCGCTCAAAGGCAGGAGCTAAGTGCATGGGAGCATCTAGCTACTAAGTGACAGGGTAGGAATTTGAACTCCAGTCTTTAGTTTCCTTCCACATACATTTACTGGGCACCTGCCATGTTCCAGGGCCAGTGCTTTACTGGAGATTCAGAGGCAAATAAACAGAATGGTCCTGTCCTCAGGTAACAGAGAGGAAAGCAGGGGTCAGCACAGATGATCTTCTTGCACCATCTCCAGAGGCTTTGCTGAAGTCTAGTTATATTTTGCTTCTGGCATGTCTCTGATCTGCTGATGGAGCGCACTCTCAAAAACAGCTCCAACAGTTGCTTCCCAATTAGTAAGGTCAACGGGGGCAGGTCCATCGCAGAGCCGCACCCAGCGCCACATGGATGGAGCACAACAACTGTTGATCGCCCTTAAACCTGCACTGTCTATGGACGATTTGGCTTTGTTGAAGGGTAAAATGTATCATCAGAGTTTAATATCAAAGTTACATGCACTTGGTTAAGATGAGCATAGCAGTCCCTCCCATCAAAATCTGTTTCCTTTGTAGTAAAATATCAACATTTATTATCTGAATAGAAGGATTAAATGAGATTTTTCTTTGCTTCTCCATAGTTCTCTGATTTTACAATTTTTCTGCATTTTCCAAATGAGTGTGCATTGTTTTGTACAGAAGAATGATGTCGAGCATAATAAAAACATTTTAAAAATGCTTTCCTGGTGTGTTATCTAGAGATTTCATTTGATGCATTTTCAGTAAACACCCGCATTTCTTTATCGGTAACTTATGCACTACCAAAATGCCAGAGGAGGATATGAAAGAGTGGACAGAAAAAACAGCATTCATTGTAACGCCAGCCACTGCTAATTAGTGGAGAGCTACAGAGAGCTGGTCATGTTTAGTTCACCATCAAAGTACCAACCAGGCAAACATAATCTAGGCTACTGACCATATTTTCAGTCTTTTTTATGTTTCAGGTTTGTTTACACAATTGTGTTCATATCGTAGAATTTTCATTCTACTTTTTCTCATTTAACACTATATGCATATCATCTTTCAAAAATTGTCCTTGTAAGTAGTATTTTAAACTCTCTATTATTTTCCATCAAGAGGATGTACTATTATTTATCTAGACATTTCTTTACTCTTGATCTCTTAAATTGTTCTCAGTTTTTCCTTATTATAAACAATGCTGCAACGAACATCTTGGCACTTTAATTACTTTCTGTATCCAAACTCTCAGAAATCGAATTATTGAGACAAGGGGTATGACAGTATGTAAGGCTCTTGAAACAGGTACCATTTTTTTTCCCAAAGAATTGTACCAAATTGTCTTCTCATCAGCCGAGAATTCCCATGGTTTTAAATCTTCAGTACTAGGGGTATGGACCTCATAGCTATTTACATTTGTATTTCTTAGGTTACAGATGAGACTAACAGTTTGGCTGTGATGTTACCATTCAGATTTAGAGACTGTTTGTAGCAGCGCACGACCCATTGTTGAGTCTGTGGTTATGTTCGCAGTTAAAGCAAAACATGATAAAGATTTTGCCATCCCTATATACTCCCTTTGGGGTGACTGTGCTTTGGTGACATCACCAGCTTATCGACTCCATTTCTAAGTTTTGGAGGTTCCAAGTTAGTCAGATTCAGAGACCTCAATTCAAATTAATCAAACTCACAGCAGATGCAAAATCAGTCCAGCACCACCCCCCCCGTTCTTGGATTTCCTGTCAGCACACAAATATCTATGGGTTTTTCTCTCTCCTCAACAAAAATAATTTTTTAGACATTTCTACATCCCACTTCTCTTTTTAGCTACTTTCCCATCTCTCTTCTTCTCTCTGTAGTCAAACTCCCTGAAAGAATCATGTAAATTCCTTGCCTGCCATTCACTCTTCAATACTTTGCTACCTGGCTTCTGCCCCATCACGCTGCTGAAACTAACCTTACTGAGTCCCCAGTGGCCTCCATGTGGCCATAACTGTTCTAATCTCATAGACAACACTTTCCCCTGCAATTGTCTCCCCCTTAGCTTGTGAAGAAGTAGCATAATAGGGTGGAAAGGGCAAAGGCTTTAGTTTAAAACCTAACTCTGACACTTGCTAGCCATGTCATCTTAAGCAAATTTCTTAACCTTTCTGATCCTTAACTTTCTCAGCCGTAAATTAGTGCAATACAGAGTGAGGCAGAATAGCAATTAAGAGCTCAGACTTTGGTGCCTTATCCACCTGGGTTCGAATTCAAGCCTAGCTCTGTGATCTCGAGCACATCAAGTCTGCGTGCTCCAGTCTCGGATATAAATAGTGGGGCTTCACGAGGATGTACTGAGCTGCTGCAAAGTACTCTGAGCGGTGCCTGGCACGCAGTAAGTGCTGTTTAAGTGTTTGCTCTATGCGTACATCAGGGCACTTCTGTGAGGGTGCAATGAGATGCGAGCACAGATCAGGGGACTTCCGTACGAGTTCAGTGAGATGCTAGCACAGCATCTAGCACAGTGTCTGGCACACAGTAGGCCCTCATTTAGTCAGTGCCAGCCCCCTGTCTTCTCTATGTCTTCCTCCCACTTCTCAGACCACTCCCTTTTCTGAG